GTCATGGTGGCTAGCATGAGACATCTCACATCACGTGCGTCATCTTCATACTTCTTGTACGAAGTAATTTCTGCAGCACGGGCGTTCGCTTCAGGAGCTTTGGGAGGCTCAGAGGTAAGGACGTAGAGCTTTTTCTCGCATTCGAGAACAATCTTAAGATTCATCTCCCAATCAAGAAAGTTGGTTCCAGATAATTTTTCCTTATCTAGAACATATCGCAGGTTGAAAGGGTTGTTGTTGTTTGCCATCTACAGAAAATTTTGCAAACTAGGTTATCTATCATGTTTAATAATTAATTAGGCCTTTAATTAATTATCTCCCACTATTTTTTACAAATCAATAACCCTCGATATTGATTCGGAGATTTCCGGCGAAACCTCTAGTGGGCCAAGATCCATATTTCATTATCTTGCATTCCACTTGGGCATTACTCCACAAGACAACTATTTAGGTAGGAACATTGTTCCAACTGATGAGCTGGGCTCTCAGCTCTTGGTCTGGTGTTGGGCGAACAATATTACTACAACTGGACCGGGACACCTTTTCACCATACTTGTAATTGGCTGAGGCACGTCTTACAAGCAGACTACTTTGGTTAGGAATAGAGTTCCAATTAAATCATAAAGATCCAACTCTTGGCTAGATGAGTGAGTAAAATCATCCGACTTGTCATTGATGACCCCAACTTGTTAGAATAATAGACCAACGCTAGAGGGGGGGTGAATAGCGTTTGATCAAGAAATCGCAGGAATAAAAATGAATAAGCGAGAAGTAAAGAGAAAAGAAAGAGGCACACCGATTTTACCCTGGTTCACCACAACTTGTGGCTAATCCAACCTCCCGAGAGACTCTCTCGAGCTACAGTACTATCTCGTTAACAAACCCGTACAACTTGAGAATTCGAGTCACACGAACCTCAACGAACCTTCGAAGGAAACAACCCTTCCTTCAAACAACAAGAGAAATACCTTCTCTTGTCAAGTGTCTAAGAACACTAAAAACACTCAAGAACAATACTCTCTCTTTAGAGTGGATATTGAGTAAACTAAGAACGCTCAAGAACACAACACAAGCTTCACAAAAATGGCTCTCAAAAGCTATGAATAATTAAAGAATGATTTGCAATGAAAGAGTAGGAGTTGTGAAGTAA